CGAGGGGCCGTGGTACATGCCAGCGCTGGCCTTGCCTACGCCACCTTCGCTCACGGCCTACTTGCAGTTTGCAGCCGGCACGCCGGTGCTCTGCACACAGAGGGTGCCGCTCATTAAGCACATGCTCCGCGTGTCCGGGGGAGCCGCGCTGGCCTGCTCTCGGCCGCCGCCGTGCAGATGAAAGCCGGGGAGGGGCACACACCCTCCCCGCCTGCGCCGCCTCATCTCCCAGAGATCTGAGGTGCGCTGCTGTTGGCTGGCTCACCTGCTGTTCCGGCGGGACCAAAGCCGTCCTAAAGAGGTCAGTCTCTACCCCGCGGGACAGAACCACTTTGGACACTGTCTTATCTAGTTCATGGGGGTGGGTCGCCTTGCTAGGGCGGCCAGCCATTTGCACGGGGAGAACGTCCAGAAGAAAGCTCTCGTCAACCTTTGCTAACTCTTTAAAAAAAAAAAAGATTTTATTTATTCACTTTTAGAGAGAGGAGAAGGGAGGGAGAAAGAGAGGTCCTTCGTTAACTTATCCCTGTTTCCAGTCTAGCTCTCTGACCTGAGCTCCGGTTTATGCCCCACCTGGACGTTACACTAGCCCTTCAGACTCATCAGTCTGCAGACGGAGATGCCAACGGTCCCCTTCTGTCACTAACGGACCTTCCAGGGCTTCATCGGGCCCGCCAAGTACTCTCCTCTCTTGCAGCTAATTGCGGCCTTAAGACTAAGCTTCTGGGTCCTGTCTCTTAAGATGAGCTTCATTTCGTTTTTTTCCATAAAAGACACATTTTTCATTTTTACCAATAACCTGATTGACTTGGATATTGAGAGTATGTCGGCCACCTCCCATGGGGTAGAACATTGATCGTTCACAATCAATGTCTCGATTTGATCGCTGTCCGCTTCGGCGGGTCTACCTGACTGTGGAGCGTCGTCCAGCAAGACATGTCCAGCACGAAACTTTGCAAACCGAGTCTGACACATTTGCTCAGTCACAGCACCTTCTCCATACACGGCACTAATCTTTATTCTGTGTTTCAGTTGCATTTTTACCTTTATTCTTGAAATCATAAAGCATGCTAGGCCAAAAATGTTGTATATTTCCTTCCATCCTCAGTATTAAAATGGTGACACAAAACCTCACCAATTTTAAAGGTTTTTTTTTAGAATGCACTCTGATAGGATGGCTGTCACAATGCAATCTAACAGAGTTGTTTCGAATTAAGTTACAACTAAGTGCTACTAGAGCCGTCCCATGGAAAAGAACAAAGGAACTTCGTGGCCGGCCCAGTACCAGCACGGCACTGCCGTAAGACTGCGGCGGCGGCCTCGTCCCAGGTCTGGTACCCGGGCCAGTCGGCAGGATTGGGCGAGTCCAGAGCCTGAGGGGTGATGGGGACACAGAACGAAGCCCCTGACCTGCTCCAGAGAGAAGCATCCGGCTGGAGGGGCTGGGGAGCGGGGAGAGCTGTGAGACGCCACGGAAGGAAGATGTTCGGGGCTGGACCAGGTCCCTGCCTTGGGCGGGGGGTGGGGGGGTGGGGCGGGGCGAAGAACAGGACGGGGAGGAGTGGCAGGGCACGCAGGACAGGAGAGGAGACGGCGGGAACGGGGTGCTAGCCATCTCGGAAATCGCCTCTTCCTTCTCCGGGGCTCACAGCACTTTGTCTCTCCACGCCCACGCCTGTCCTCACCCAGTCACCGGGCATCTATCTACCCGAAAGCTGGCCAGACCCTGTAACAGCCGAATGCCTCTCTGCCCGCTGCAGGCAGGGTCAGCAGCCCTGCGGAGCACCCCCCCCCCAACCACCCCCACCCGCAGCGCGCCCACAGGTCCCCGTTACTGCTTCTGCACACGCTGTCACAGGGTCGTCACCGGTGTGTCCGCCACCGGGCTGCGAGCTCCCTGAAGGCAGGGACCGCGTCTGCTCCGTCTGTCCGCCCCACACGGTGCCTGGACGCGGCAGGAGCTCAGCCGCTGACCGTGCGTGAATCAACGTCTCAGCCGGGCCATCGCCTCTCCTGGGTCCCCCTCAGAGCCATGCGCCGCCCCCAGGTGTGGACTGGACACGCGTCCCTCGCCCCCTGTGGCTCCCTGGCTCCTGTCACAGGACCTTCCCTCACCGCGCAGGCTGACACTCTCTGAGGACGAGGGCCGTCTCTTCCCTCTTGATTCTCGGCACCTGCCCCATCCTTGGAAACCCCAGGGTCTCCATACACGCTGGTAGGAGGCATGAGTGAATGCATGAATGGATGGATGAAACCAAGAGGGACCCAGGAGAAATGCAAGCAAGCCGTCTTCATCAGACCCGAAAAGAGTCGCCAGGAAAACACGTCGCCTGCCCCCCTGAGCGTGCTCCCCCCAGGGTCACAGCCCGCGCCGTCCGCATCTGGGGACAAAGACAGAGCGGGGCCTCCTGCCCGTCTTCCTGCGCAGCCGCACCTGTTGCTACGCTAGCAGCTGGCCGGCATCTCGTTCTGTCGGGAGCGACAAGGACGGCAGCGACAGAACACAGTCCCCGACAGGAAGCGGCGTCCCTACGACAACGAGGGAGCACCAGGCTGAGTGTGCGGCAGAGGGAGGGAGGAGGGCCGGCGTTTTAGCGTTTTAGCGATGAAAGACCAGGAAGGAGCCACGCGAGCGGGAGCGGGAGCCGCGGAAAACACTGGAGTGCTGATTAGACATTGCTCAGCCTGCGCGAAAGCAGAGAAGTGGGGAGGGGGAGGGGAGGGGAGGCGGGGGAGGAGACGGAGGGACAGGGAGAGTGCGTGGTTTCTTGTTGTGTTTTTTTTCCCCTGGCTCTCTGACTCATTTTTAATCTGTCCTTTCCTCCCTCCCTTCCACCACCCCCACAGGAGAGAATTCATTGATTGGGCTGGACCGAACTGTCTCACCTTCCCTCCCCCGGTCTCCGGGGGAGGATGAGTCGGAATCCATTCCCCCGCTCTGTCCTCCCCCGCCTCTCCCCCTCCCCCACCACCACTGTCGGTGCCTCCCCTCTGCTCAGGGGCTTCTGCCAGACCCATCAGGGGATGGGGCGGGTGCCCGGTGCGTCCGGGGGAGCCGGACTCACCTGCAGAGCACAGGAGCCCGGGCGTCTGACAGCGGGTGGCCCTGCTCACTAACCTGTTGCCAGCCTCCAGGCGGGGGCCGCCACTCCAGGTGCCAGAGGAAGAGGGCACAGAGAAAGCGGCCCACCCCTCTCAACACAAACGAAACAAACCCCGGTCCACGAGAACCTCAGAGAGGCAGCTCTGGAGACAGCCAACCCCACCGGCCGGGGGGCTGAGGGGACCGGGTCAGGCTGCAGCCCCGCGGGCGTTTGCTCCAGCGTGTCCTCTGCGGGCCTCCACTTCTATGAAGCCACAGGGCTGGACTGGGCGGCCCGGGCGCCGGCCAGCCATGTGCCTGCATTTCAACAGGAGCCGTGAGCCATCTCTCCAGGCTCTTGCCCTTCTGTCCCCACTCCCTGCGGAGCTGGGGACCCCCTGACTCAGGGCCCCCTCCCCAGGTGCCTGGCTGACTTCAGGGAGGGTGTGATACAGGCTCAAAGCCAAGGCCGCCCTGGAATCTGATAACGGAGAAGAGGAGGCAAGTTGAGGACACTGGGAATCCGTGAGGGGGAGTGGCAGGTCCCGGGAGGCCGGGGGGCGGGGGGCGTGGATCAACCCAACCCTGAAATTAGAGATGATTCACATCTGAATAATGTGGGAGGGAGACAGCCAGCTCAGGGCACCCCCCCAGCTGGACCCAGCGGGGGGCCAGGGCCGGCCAGGGCCCTCCGTGTGGAACCGGAAGACCGGAGGCAGTCGGAACCCCGCCTCTGGAGCCCGGGGAAACGGGGTTCGCCTTTCTCAAGTGCATCTCACCCTCTTTCGCCGACTTGCCTAAGATGTTTTGAACGTGTCCCCCCTTTCCCACTGACTGGCTTCTCCCAAGTCTTCTGGTACGCGCCCCCAGAAGGGACAGGACTTCAATTTTTTTTGGGGGGTGCTATTTTGCCTTTTCACTCCCGCCCTCCTTCACTGCCCTCACCCCGACCTCACAGCCTGTCTGGTCCCCGGCCCCTCCCTCCATCCCTCGGTCTCCATGGTCACTGTCTCCGGCCCTGCAGGCTGCCCCAGCCCTCCAACACCCTGGCCCAGGCAGGGCCGCTCTGAGACTCGGGGCTGGCCCCCTGCCCGGCCCCCTGCCCGGCCCCCGCCCCTCAAACGTGCAGAACCATCCAGTGGGGACAACTTGTTCGGAGCAAGAGCCTTTGCAGAGCCCAGAAGGGTGGGAGAGAGTTCATGAGCAGGAGGGACCCCCCCCCCACACACACAACACTGGCCCCGGCTGGGGGATGCGACAGGCTGGGGGAGCCCTACCTCCTCGAGTGTCTCTGCAGATTATGTTTACTGGGGGGATGGAAACCGGTTTGCTGGGGGGAGGGAGGGTCCTCTCTAACTGTGGGGCCACTCACTCCCCAGGCGGCCCAAGCAAGAGACAGCAGGGCCCTCAACTCTAAACCCATGGGGCCTCCACCCCCTCCTTCCCCCCACCCCCACCCCGCCCTGAGACTGCCCCTGGTTCCCCGCTTCTCCAGGGAAGGAATTAGGAGACACTCCTCCACCCCCACCCCCAGAAAACCAGTTTCCTTAATTAATCAGTCTCCTCCGAGCTTCCGTTTTGTCCAGCCAGGCTTCCCCGGCGCTGCAAACTCAGGAAGCGCCGCTGTCTGGACGGGGAAAGGCGCGCTCGGGAGGAAGGACAGTTCCCCGTTTGCAGCGGGTCAGACACCTGCGTCTCCGGCGTCTCCCCTGTGTCCGCGCTCCCCGCTTCCTCGCGCTCGCCCCCCCCCCCATCGTGCTAACACACGCAGCCCTCCCCCACTGGCCGCCCGCCCGCCCGCCCGCCCGCCTGCTCGGCGGCCTGCAGCACAAGCGCGGGCCGTGGGGGTGGCGGGGGCTGGGACCCCCCTGCGCGAGTGCCGGTAAAGTTCCCGGGGTCGGCGGGGAAGGCCGCTTACCCGTCAGCCAGAGGAGAGCGATCCACGCCAGCGAGACCCTGTCCATCTCCTCTAACTTCCCATCCAGACGAGCGAGGGCGCGAAGTGGGGAGCGGCAGCGGCGCCGGGATCTGTCTGTGCGGCCGGGAGGCAGAGGCGGCGGCGGCGGGCGGGCGGGCGCGAGCGGCTGTCCGCGTCCCTGGGCGCCGCCCCGGGCGGACCGCGCGGACGGGCCCGGGCGCGCTGCCGTTCCGGCTCCCGCACCGGCTCGGGCTCCGGATCCCGCTCTCGCTCGGGCTCCGGCTCGGGCTCGGGCTCCCGCTCCCGCACGCCAGGAACCCGGCAGCGATTCCCCGCCCCGCAGCGCCGCCCGCCGCCCGCCCCGCGGCCTCCAAAGTTTCTGGGTCACGTGCCGGCCCCGCGGCCAGCGCGAGTCGCCCAGTGCACCGGGGGCACCGGGGGAGGGCGCGCGGGCTGCGCAGAGCGCGGGCCAGAACCCCGCTGGGGACGCGAACGGGGGCGGCGGGGCGTGCACGGGGCTCGGGCCAACGAGGGCTGCGAGAGGGCACAGGTCGGGGACCGCTGGGACTCGGGGGGACTTATCAGCGAGGCCCCTCGGCTCGGGGGTGGTGTGCTTGGGCTGGACCCCCGCCCCTCCGTCTGGTCTGTCCTGGTCTGGTCTGGTCTGGGTCCCCTTCTGACCCGCAGTAAGGCAAGGTGCCCCGCAGAGCTGGAAAAAGTGGCCGGGAATCCCGCGTCCTGACGGCCTCCTGTTAAAAACACGACTAAGGGCAGGGCTCGCGGCTCGTTAGACAGCAAATACGGAAAACTAGAAGGGAATCAACAATGTGTCGGCTCCCATGGGCCCGCCGTGTGCGGCTTCTCGGCCTTTTGGCCAAGATCAAGGGCGTTTGCCCGACACGTTACAGGTTGCAGGGCACGTTCCCACAGCTTATGTACATGTCAGTGGACCTGTGCCCAGTGTGTGTCTGTGTGTGTGACACGGAGAGAAAGCAGGCTTTGCGTGTGGAGAAATGCACGTTCACGCCGTGTAGCGTCCCCTAGGTGCGAACAGCCCGGACCACAGGGAGGAGGGAGACGGACCTCCCGCCGTGCGGGGTCCTGGAACCGCGGAACTCACGGTGGTAAAACCGGCAGGTGCGCTCCTGGAGACACAGAGAAGGCGCCCGAGGAGCTTAACCACGCCTGTCTGATGGGAACGGGGAGGGACAGCGACCCTCGGGAGTGACGAGAATCCACTCTGCACCATGGTCTTCTATGGTATGGCTGCTTGACCTCTGCAACGCCGGCATTTCTGAGGAGCACCGACCGTGGAAGCCCAAACCTCTGCACCCATTCCCGGACCACCACCACCGGGTACAGGCCCGGTCCCGTGTGGCCAGGGACCCCCCTCTCTCTCTGAGTTTTTGAATCCTGGAGCAAGTGGATGAGCAGAGAGACGGCAGAGGATGGTTTTGCCGCTGCGGCGGAGGGGCAGTGGCACCGAGGACTCGGGTCAGCGGTGCGGCGGGCAGGCCGCCAGACTGCTCCAGGCGTGATTTCGCCACGGCCTTGGCTATGAGCCCCCCGGGTGCCAGCCCGCTTCCCGCACCTGGCTCTTCAGCCCCCTGGCAGCCCCGCAGAGCCCCGGATGCGCTCTCATACCGCCCCCCACGGCTTGCTTCGGCCAGAGATGATTTCTGAGGCTTGCAAGCTGAGAACACCAGCTAATGCCCTGGCTTGTGTGGCTCAGTGGATTGAGTGCCAGACTGTGAACCAAAGGGTTACCAGTTCGATTCCCAGTCAGGGCACGTGCCTGGGTTATGAGCCAGGTCCCCAGTAGGGGGGCGTGAGAGGCAACCACACATTGATGTTTCTCTCCCTCTCTTTCTCCCTCCCTTCCCTTCTTTCTATAAATAAAATCTTTTAAAAGAACACCGGCTCTTCTTCTCATACATAAAATAAAATAGAAAATAAAACTGAAACAGGTTCCTAGGTTTCCCATTGGGTCCTAGGCCTAGGTGTGTTACCAGCGTTCTCATTTCATCCTCACAGGGAAACTCAGGCCCCGAGAATTTAATTAACTTCCCTTAGATCAGGTAGCTAGGAAGGGGCGGAGGTGTGATTTGAACTGAGGTCTTTCGACTCCAAAGCATGTGCCCCTCGCATCCTGAAAGGCACATCTAGACTGGAGGGTTGGCATGATGATGGATGGGTATTGTGCTCCGCCACTTCCCGTGTGTGTGTGTGTGTGTGTGTGTGTGTACACATGCCTGGGCACGTGTGCACAGCGCACAGCAGAGCTTGAATAGCCTTAAGGACCTAAGCGTACATAACAATGGCATTTTATGCGAAACTTGGACATAACGGCTGAGGAAACGGAGCGGGACAAAGGACGCTGGCTGTGTGGGGGAGCGGACAGTCACCGTGTGCTCACAGTGTGTGCCTGCGTGTGTGTCCCCATGGAGTCGGAGTGAGTCACAGAACGCAGGGCCTTGTCCACCCCACCCCCACCCCACCCCTACCCCACCCCTGGGGTTTTGGTTTCTGAGGAGCACCCACCCTGAGTGTCTCCCTTCCAGCCGGGAGGTCTTGCTGGTCTAGCCTGCCACCTCCCCAGTGGACCGGGCCCTGGCCCATCCTCGGGGGGGATGTCGGCGCAGGACTGGGTCTCAGTGAGTGCCCCTCTGTCACACATGTGCTTTTGGCAAGGTGGCACAGGGTGTGGAGGAACTTCAAGGTCACGTCTAGTGGGTCTGAACGTGAACCCAAGGGATGGAGACAAGAGGAGGGGGGACAGGGGACTGTTTTGCTGCATTGGTGGAGATGGCAGGGTGACACCAGGATTGGGGTGCTCTCCCAAGGGTGGTTTTGGGACGCTGAGGATCGGGATCACAGCAGTGGGTGTCCCGAGTGCAGATTCCCAGGCTCTGCTCAAAGCTGTGAGACCAGAAACTCTGGGGGTGCCCTGTGAATCTGCATTTTAACTGCCTTCCTCCAGCGCTTCCGAAACACAGGTGTTTGGGGAGCACAACCTCGTCCCCTAGTCGCGTGGGCGCCTGGGAAGCTGTGGGGTTGTTTGTGGATGAGCCTCAGAGTCCAATCCAGTTGTCCATGGGTCCTAAGACACAGGCCCGGGCGCGGAGGTGCAGACACATTTCAGGGTGGAGGGAGGCTCTGGGTCCCCAACCCTTCAGACTCAGACAGGTGAGAATGTAGTCCCTCCCACGTGGGACCCCCGCGGGGCCCAGGAAGCCCCTCCTGCAGGCGGGCGGGCGCGTGGACTCGCAGGCCTCTCCGCCAACGCGGGGTTTCGGAACAGAATGAGGACACGAAGGAAAGAGGAGTGAACCGGCGCGAGGAGACCTGCTGGTAGCCGGTAGCAACCACACGGTTATAAATATAACGCAGCTGAAGCCTCGCCAACACGTGACTTCCCTGCCGGCGCCGGGCATGCACGCACACGCATCCTGCTTACCGTAGGCCTTTGCGGGGCTGGCAGGTAGCATCGCGACGCCTGTGCCCGCGCTGATCTGACTTCCAGCGGCAATCGGGTGTGTGACTTCCAAACCGATTCCAGGGGGCCCTCCCCCCTCCTTCTGTGCCATAAAAAAAGGTTTATTGAGACGTAATTCCCATATCATGCCGTTTGCCCATTTAAAGTGTACCATCCAACAGTTTTAAATACAGTCAGAGTTCCTATGCCGTGGCATCTATTCATGTTGTTTTTTCAGTTTCTCGTCTAAGTTTTGTTCACCTTTCCTTCCCTGGTGCTACCTCGCTGGGTTTATCTTCCCCATCCCCCCATCTTCACAACCACCTGCAGGGAGTTAGAAATTTTTGAAAAAAATCTAAATTACAGCAAGAAATTAACCAACGACAATAACAAAAATACCAGAGGCCGTGGGCACCTGTACTGACAACCCGCAAGCATTTCAACCTGGAAGCCTTTTCCTTCTGAGGAATAAGTGGTTTCATTAAGAAAATGCGTCCCAGAAAGGAAATGCAAATGGGAAGGACCGGGTGCCAAAAGAATGCCGAAAGCCGTCCTGCCAAGAGCATATAATAAGTAAAAGGCTGGGAGAAGGAGCTGAAAATTCCACAGTCTCCAAGCAGACTCACGGCAAGCGCCTGCTGCCTCGGGCTTCCGATCGAACTGAACTGCGGTGACGGTGCCGGCGCCGAATTAGGTGGCATCCAGTCGCCCCGCCCCGAGGCCAGACCCCAGTGGTGCGTGGCCACCACCGCCCGACCGAGCCGTCCCCCCAGAGGTCCAGCCGAGGGCGGACGTGCAGACGGGAGAGCCTGCAGTCACGGAAGGACATGCAGTTCTTTCTGTCCCGGGCGCGTCTCGAGTGCGGGGAGTGCCTCTGACGGCGGCAGTGGAAGCAGCGTCAGAGGGCGATGGTTATCGCTGGTCAGGGATGTTGACCGTCTCTAGTTTCTCCTCTACGGTTGTCTCTGCGCTCTGGTGTTTCCACGACGTGGGGGAAGTCGCTGGGTGAGAGCTGTGCCACCGTCCACTCAGCCTGCGGGACACCCCTAGAGGGAGAAGACGGGGCGACCGGCCCCCAGACAGGCACCTGCTCTCCTTCCGTCCTGGTCGCCGACGGTTAGTCACCTTCCCCAGGAGCTGGGCGGCGGGGCGGCCTGCCCTTTCCCTGGGAGTTGCAGAGCCAGGGAGGGAGCGGGGCTGCCTCCGTCTGGGAGCCCTGTCTCCAGCTTTCACTTTGTGTCATTGTTACCATCCTTTGGGGCCCGGAGCAGTGCTGACCGCCCTGAGCCAGAGAGCAGATTCCAGGGGTCTGGCGGCATCCTTCAGCCCGGGGGTGGGGGGGGGAAGGTGAGAGGCGGCCTGTCTCCCCGAGTCTCACCCAGGCCGTGGGCGCTGCTGGGTGAGTGGTTCAGCCGGAAGACGGCGTCTCAGCCCCAAGCATTCTCCCAGAGGCCTGCTGCCCGGCACAGGTCAAAGACGGACGGAAGGGAGGGAAACGGGCCAGAGCAAATACCTCATCCGATGACCTCACCCCCCGAAAAAACAAGCCAGAGAGGAAGCAGCTCGGACAAGAGAAGGGTCTCTGGGCTCTCCGAGCTGGAGTTACGGAGTGGCAGCCCTGACCTTGGCACTGGGGTCATGGGCGTGGCGCTCTCACGAAAGCGTTAACTCTGTCCGCCTCCCCCGGTGCTGAGTGGGCGCCTTCCGCGCGGAGATGATCCGCGTGGATTTGTCTAATTACAGACTGTTCCAGGGTGTTGTTCTTCCTCTTGCTGTTTCCTCCTCATCTCTCCTCCTCTCTTCCCTGAATTCGTTATTCTATCCACGTTTCGTGAGCACCTGCTATATTCCAGAATCTATGCTGTCT